ATTGCTTTATACCGTAATCATAAATCATAAATATTGCATACGCTGCACTAGAAACACCTCGCACAAGCAGTAATCTGTTTTATTTTTTGTAATTTGAAGCAAAGACGATAGAATACATACATGAATACATATAAAGGAGCATACGTTACTTTAAAAATCTAAATATTAAAAACTCAAGGATTTAAGACGCTGATGACTGTTAAACGTGTCATAACAAGCTTGTGAAAAGGGTCCACTTGTTGAGGTGACGCTAATTTCTGTAGTCTACAATATAAGCAGGTGTATAGAAACTCAAAAATCTGATCTAAAAATCTTTATAAAATAAAGCTTTCAATTGCTGCTGTATGCCTGTAAATTTATAACATTTATATAAAAAATGACCAGTTATAAAACTAAAAAAGTTGCATAAATCATATAAAAAACTGACCCCAAACTTGTATACAATATATATTATCATTATCATTATTATTATCACGCAGCAGGATGTTTAACAATATTATATTTGTGCATATACATTAATAGTTAGTTATGAAGTTTTGGAAAAAAAAAAAAAAAAAAAAAAACTGCGATAACAGTCCAAAAATTAGTACACCCATATATAACATTGCCAAAATGTTGTAGTTTTTGTGATTTATTTGTATTTGTTGCAATATTTTGCATGAATTTAAATGTATTAACTTTCTATTCCTAAATATGTTCGGTGAACAAACTCTTATTTTAATGAATAAAATACAGTTTAATAAATCAGTTTTGTTCAAATGCACCAACATATATTACCTATATTCACTGAGATAATAATAATAATAATAATAATAATAATAATAATAATAATAATATTAAAAAAAATAATAATAATAATAATCATAAATACTACTAATAATATTATTAAAGACAAATACATTTTCAAAAAAAGGTGTACTCATTTATTATTTATTAGAGCACTACATATAATGTATATTATGACACAATTTTATTTATACAACATTTATAACATCTATACTATATCTTTACTTTATTTTATATACTTTTTATCACTTTATATAAATGTATTTATTCACTTATTTATTTTTTATTAATTATTCCTTTATTTATTTATTTATTTATTTATTTTAAACAAAGTATTGTCTCATTCATTTAAAAGTTAACATATACCAAAGTATAACCATTATCAATCTAACTTTGAATGATGCATGATGCAGAAAACACATCAGTGTTACGTTAAGCACAATGTGTGCCACATTCATTCAGCTGCATCTGATCTGCACAGTTTGTCTGGTGAATTAGCTGGTAAAGTGACGCACACACAACATAAATGCCAGGCCCAATTCATCGGTAGTGAATTCCCCACTGTGTGTTAAACCCAGCTAAAAATATCCACGCCGATAATGCAATAAAACACTAATGCAATTCTGAAACAGATTATCTCATCAACAATTCAACAGTTCATTCTGACCCTCTCTGTCTGTCTGCATCTCTGTGTCTCCATCTGAACACTCCAATCAATGCAGTAATCTGTTTATGTAGGTACAGTTAATGCATTAAAACACATTCCATAAGTCAGGCTACTGTAACGCCCTCATTACACATTTTTTTTTTGGAAAGCAATCGGTCTGTCCTCGACATGCCTAAACCAAACCCTCAGACTGACAGACGAATACACCGCCGACTGTCAGCTAAAAACTCTGAAAGCACATTAAATCCTCTCCATCATAACACACAGGCCAGCGTCTATGAAAACCACTTGGATTTATGTCTAGCTTTCACCATACCTTATGCTAAAATTCACATATTTGGGTTAATTCATAATTTACACTCTCAGACATTGCTTCAAATCTGCTAAATATCTTATTTTGAAGTCAAGGTAAAAAAAATAGATGTTTAGTAGAATGTTCAAGCTGCCCTTTTCAATGCAATTACAGTAAATGGAAACCAAAAATCACAACAGAAACACCACAAATAGTGACATTTAAACATTTAGGGCTGCACAATCCTGGAAAAACATGAGATACTCTTGTCGGGTATTGTGATAACAATATTTCTAACGATATAACATTTCCTTATATGTCTAATTCATATTTTATGCTCTCACACATTTCCTCAAATCTGCTACACAACCTTTTTCCTTCCAGTGAACTCAAAATAAGATGTTTAGTCGAATGTTCAAGCTGCACTTTTTAATGCAGTTCAAGGAAATGGAAACCTGATTACAAAATCACAACAGAAAGCAACACAAATAGTGACATTTAAACATTTAGGGCTGCACAATACTGGAAAAACATATGATACTGTTGTGGGGTATTGTGATAATGATATTTCTAACGATATAACATTTCCATAGAAAAATGCTATTTTTAATTCATAATTTACACTCTCAAACATTGCTTCAAATCTGCAACATCACTTCTTTTTACTCGGTGAACTTGAAATAAGACGCTTAGTAGAATGTTCAAGCTGCACTATTCAATGCAATTCAAGAAAATGGGAACCAGAGTCCAAAAATCACAGCAAAAAGCACCACAAATAGTGACATTTTAACATTTAGGGCTGCACGATACTGGTAAAAATATGTGACACTCCACTTGAATAATGCGAAAACTATATCTCTTACGATATAACATTTCCCTATATGTTTAATTGATATTTTATCCTCTCAAACATTGCTTCAAACCTGCTACATCACTTTTTTCCCTCCAGTAAACTCAAAATAAGATGTTTAGTAAAATGTTCAAGCTGCACTTTTCAATACAGTTCAAGTAAATGGAAACCAGAGTCCAAAATCACAACAGAAAGCAACACAAATACTGACATTTTTACATTTAGGGCTGCACAATACTGGAAAAATATGCGTTACTGTTCTTGAATATTGCGATTTCTCACAATATATAATTTACTATATTTTTAATACATATTTTAAACTCTCAAACATTGCTTCAAATATGCTACATAACTTTTTATTTCTTCCAGTGAACTCAAAATAAGATGTTTAGTAGAATGCTAAAGCTAAGAGCAGGAAACTGAGGCTACAATTCGCAAAGCCTCACCAAAATGAGACAATTTGATTGGAAAAAATG